CAGTGGTTGGCAAACTGCGGGTCATGAACCTCATGCGGCTCTTTGGCCCCTTGAGTGTTTAGCAAAGGCCAGCTTAGGATAAGGTGACCAGACATCCCGCTTTTGGCGGGAAAGTCTCGATTTTTAACAATTTGTCCTGCATCCCGCGGCATTTTAAATTCTTTAAAAAAATCGGGACTTTTTTAAAACGCCGCGGGACACGGAACAAATTGTTAAAAAATTGGGGCGGTCCCACCAAAAGCGGGACATCTGGTCACCTTACTTAAGAGTACCCTAATTGAGTTAATAACAATGTACCTACCTTATAGTTTAAATTTAAAAATTTTGGCTCTCAAAAGAAATTTCAGTCGTTGTACTGTTGATATTTGGCTCTGTTGACTAATGAGTTTGCCGACCACAGCTCTAGTCATTTATATAAACTTGAGTGGATAGTGAGCCTGTTAACTCCTATGAAGAATATTGTTGAAACTAAGTTTGGTTTTCAGTCTGATCATTTGAAACGATCTAGGGACAGCTGAAAGAGTGGTTGGGAAATTCAAAGAAGAGTGGGTGAACCAGTAAGATTCAGACTAGATTACAGGGTAGAGATATAGCTTCAGAGATAAGACTCCCCCCACCTCCCAAGCTCTTGTTGAAGTAAATGGAAAATACGCAAACTTCTAAGACAAGAGAGTGGTTTCAAAAAAAAAGTGAGGAAAAGGCCTTATGTGAGTGCTATTTCTTAACATGAAAGGAATGAGGCAAAGTGCAGATATCTTCAAGGGAATCCCTGTCCCTAGGGCAGAGGGAGAACTTGATTAAGAAATGAGTATCTGCCAAAACCGGTTTGGCTCAGTGGATAGAGCATCGGCCTGCGGACTGAAGGGTCCCGAGTTTGATTCAGGTCAGGGGCATATACCTTGGTTGTGGGCACATCCCCAGTGAGGGGTGTGCGGGAGGCAGCTGATCGATGTTTCTCTCATTGATGTTTCTAACTCTCTGTCCCTCCCTGTAAAAAAATTAATAAAATATATTTTTAAAAAATAAAAGTGTCTGACTATTAAAAAAAAGAAATGAGTATCTGATATTATTCTGCGTATAGCATTTAACCTTAAAGAATTGTACCAATGATTATTATTATTAGACAAACAAATATGCATTGCCTTCAGCAAAACAGACCTGTGGCACATGGGGGCGAGTTGTTTTCTTACATTACCCAATGCAGGGAGACATCTGTGAGGGGATTGATTAACATGTAAATAAGTAAAAAAGAAAGGAGCTAAACTCAAAAGTCCTTATTTACAGGCTGAGATTCTTTTTACAGTTAGTAGATGTTCTGTTTTTGTTTTTTTGTGTTTTTGTTGTTGTTGTTTTAGCATTTTAAGGTCACAGCAAAACTCAGCAGAAAGTACAGAGCTCCCATGTACCCCTGACCCTCCCCATGTCCTCCACTCTCATCATTACGGCAATGGTACACTTGTTTTAACTATTGAACCTACATGAACATATTATCATCCACAGTCCATAGTTCATTATTATTTTGGAACAAACTGTTAAGTGTTAGATCATTTGAGAATAAAAAGAATAGCCCGGCCAGGTGCTCAGTTGGATGGAGTGTCATTCTGTATACCAAAAGGTTGTGGATTTGACTCCTGGACAGGGCATTTGATTCCTGGTTGGGCACCTGTGGGAGGCAATTGATCAATGTTTCCCTCTCACATTGGTGTTTCTCTCTCTCTCTCTCTCTCTCTCTCTCTCTCTCTCTCTCTCTCTGCCTTCCTTTCTCTCTCTAAAATCAATAAAAACATATATTCTTCTTTATGTAGCTCAGAGTTTCTGATGTTTTTTCCTTCTCTCAGAATACCTTCTTTTAATATTTCTTGCAAAGGATATCTATTATAGATGCCACAAATCCCCTTAATTTTTGTTTGTCTGAGATAATTGTTTTCCCTCACTTTTTAAGGATAATTTCCCAGGGCCAGAATTCTGGGTTGATGATATTTTCTGTTAGTTTCAACATTTTAAGTTTTTTATTCTTTTCTCTTCTTGCTTGCATGGTTTCTGAGGAGAAGTAAGATATAATTCTTATCTTTGTTCCTCTACAGTAAGATATTTTTTCTTCTAGCAGCTTTCAATATTTTATCTTTATCTCTTATTTTCTGCAGTCTGAATATGATATGTCTTTGTGTTTTACTGACACTTCTCTATTTCGTGTTCTTGGAACTTTGTAGGTCGGTGGTTTGGTGTCTGAAATTAATTTGGGGAATTCTCAATCAATATGCCTCAAATAGTGCATCCATTTCTTCCTTCTCATAGTTCCATTATATTTATGTTACATTTTTGCAGTTCTGGATATTGTTCTTTCTTTTTAGCATTTTTTTTTCCTTCTTTGTTTTTCAATGTTGGGAGTTTTTATTGACATTCCTAATACTCAGAAATTCTTTACTCAGCCATGTCTACTCCACTAACTTGCCCACGAAAGCATTCTTCATTTCTGGTATGGTGTTTTTGATATCAAGTATTTGTTTGATTCTTGCTTCGAATTTCCATCTTTCTGCTTAAATTACCCACCTGTTCTTGCATGTTGTCTATCGTTTCCATTAGCACTCTAGCATATTAATCATGGTAGTTTTAAATTCATCATCTGATATTCCCAATATCTTTGCCATATCCTAGTCTGGTTCAGATATTTGTTCTGTGTCTTCGAATCGTGTTTCCTTAGTGTATTTATTGATTTATTTATTTATTTTTTTTTTTACCACTGAGCATGCTTTGCAAATTTTTGTTGAAAGCTGGGCCTTGGTTTACTGGGTAAAAGGAACTCTGGCAAATAGGCCCTTGGGAAGGTGAGGGGGGTGGTGGTTTCTATCTTCCTATAATTAGGGCTCAGTCTTTTAGTGACTCTATGCTTCTGACTGAATGTCACAAGTAGTTCTCAGTCCCCCACTCCCATGCCTTATGTGGATCAGACGGCCAGACGGGCATTTGAGTTTTTCCCTTCTTACATGTGGAAGGCTAAGCGGCACTGAAGTTGGGTATTTCCTTCCCTCAAGGTCAATCTCTGATAAAAATCCCAATAGTTTAGGCTTTAGTAAAAGTTTCTCTTGAGTGCAGGCCTTATTCGATAGAACAAAATATTCTGGCATATTTCAAAATGGTTCTTTTCCCCCTTCCCCTGCCAAGTATCTAAAAGGATTATTTCCCTTCTTCTATTCACTGTGACAACCTGGAAGAGCTTCAGAAAGTAAAACTCACAAAAGTGGAGTTGTTAACTCTCAGACTTATCCACAATGAGCATCCAACAATTCATCAATTACACTTCCAGGTACTGGTTTCCAAAGAGGTGTCTGCTTGAGGTTTTCTGCTCTCCTAAATTGTGCTTCTCTGTATGGCCTATCTCTCCAATTAAAAAAAAAAAAAAGAAGATTTTAAAGAGAAAGAGAGGAGAAGAGGGAAAGGGAAAGGGAGAGAGAGAGGAAGAAGAAGAGGAAGGAGAGAGAGAGAGAGAGAGAGAGAGAGAGAGAGAGAGAGAGAGAGAGAGAGAAAATCTGCTATTCCACTTATTCATGAATTCACTGGTTGATTCTTTATATGCCATGACTTAGGATAGAACCACAGAGTTCAACCTGGCCAGAGCCATCTCTCCAATCTGGGCAGTGTTTTATTCTGTCACCTCACTTCTCTAAAGGATTAAGAAGAGTGTTGAATTTTCAGTTTATTTGGATTTTAGAAAACTAGTCCCTAAGTGCAGCATTGTACTTTGAACCATTGTCACACCTCATCTTGGAAAAAATGGGCAGAGAAGACCAAAAAAAACAAAAAAAAAAAACAAAAAACAAACAAAAAAAAAACCTTTTAAACTCTTCCTCTTATTTGTATCTCCGGTGAAGGGCTGGTGGTCAAAAAGGTGGAAACTGCACGCAGAGAAATAGATGCATTAAAACAGACGTTTTGCACATTTAGCATCCCTGAGGGTTCTGGACCCTTGAAAGGAGAGGAAAGGGCGGGGGGAGTACATCTCAGGCTCCAATGGACTCTTTCCTGGCTAACTGTTGTGGAGAGGGGTTTACCTCCTTCCTCTCCAAGAAGCCAGGAGCAGATAGATGGTGGTGCTGAGAACAGTATGTCCAGTGGTAAACACAAGCTATATAAAGAGAAGTTACAGATAGGTTCGCTCACTAGAGCTATTATATTTCATTCAGCTACTTAACATTTAAAAAAAAAAAAAAGTTAAAGGCACGTATTGCTGCCCATACAGTAGGTCAAATACACGGCGGCACGTATAAAGCGTGCCAGCCTTTTCCTGGCTTTGAGTGTCAGGGTCTGTCCAGATTGCAACTTCCCAGGCTTTCCAAAGACCTGGGGACCCAGACAAGGCGGCGGTGACGCCGAGGGGGAAGGGAGGAAATTCCCTACTTGGGCTCCGGAACCCCGGGCGCTCCCGCCAGCGGACGAACCAGCACGGAGTCCCGCCACCTAAGCCTGGGAGTCAGAAAGGCGCAAACCCGAGCTCAGGGGCAGAGGAATTGGAGGGGGCGGGAGTGGGGGGGGGGCGGAAATGGGGGGAAAGGGAAAAGCTAGGAGTCGGGGTCTGGGGGTGTGAATCGGCTTTGCACCCACCTTGCGGAAGCAGAGAAAGAGCAGCTTCCCGAGTTCCTGACTTTGTCATTTGCTGGTCTAACGCAGGTCTTACGCAATTTTGGAGATGGGGGGGGGGAGGGGAAGGGGGCGAGTAAGAAAGGCGGAAAGAACCAGTCATGGCGTCACGTGGGCTAGTTTTTTACGCATAAAAGGAAGGTTCCTTCCGTTAGCTGCCAGTTGACTAAGGACTCCGGAGAGAGCGCTTACAGAGTACGCCCAGGAATTCCGCCAGCGCTCCTCCAGCTCCCTCCAGCGCTCCTCCAGCTCCATCCAGCGCTCCTCCGGCTGCATCCTGCGCTCCTCCGGCTGCATCCTGCGCTCCTCCGGCTGCATCCTGCGCTCCTCCATCCCCATCCACAGCCTGAGCGCACGCCACAGAGATGCTCGCCCGCGCCCTGCTGCTCTGCGCAGCCCTGGCTCTCCGCGCTGCAGGTGGGTACCCGGCGCCCCGCGCCCCGCCAGTCTCCACTCGGACTTGCCCTGGCCCCCTCGCTCTGAGCTCTCTCGGAATAGGGAGTCTGTAGACCAAAGAACCGGGTAGATATATCCCAGCTTTGCCACCACCTCTGATCATCAAGGACCAGTTGCTTAACTGGTCTGGGTCTGTTTTCTCATCTGCAAAATGGGCACAGCGATACTAATTGGCAGGTTGTCATTTTGATGAGACTGGATGAAGTCAGGACATGGGAAATGCTAGTGTGTGTGGTACCCACTGTTACTGAGTGGGAGTAATTGTTTTCTTTAGATACCCCAGTCAGTGCCTTCCTTCTCAGGAAAGCCCGGGTTTTTGTTTGTTTGCTTTTGCTTGTCAGATAGGCAAAGTGTTTTAAATTACTTTGCTATTTACTTTGCGATTTTCCCTATATCTACCCTTCCTAATTTTGAGAGAGCTATTTGTTTGAGCTTCTTAATGCTGATTTGAGCATCTAAACGTTACTTCGCAACCTGATTTCCATTATTTATTTTTTAGAATAGGAAGTAGGTCTTACTGCTTTATAACCACTCTGTGAGGCAGATTTTTTAAAAAAAACTTTATTTTCCCATGACTATTTGTATATTTCTAGAATTGATTATTGTGAAGGTGACCCATAGGAAGTAAAACAAGTAAATGTTTAAGTCAAGATTAAGATGCTAAAGAACAATTTATTTACTGTCCTTACTTTTATTGTAGCAAACCCTTGCTGTTCCAACCCCTGCCAAAACCAAGGTGTATGTATGAGTGTTGGATTTGACCAGTATACGTGTGACTGTACGCGAACAGGATTCTACGGGGAAAACTGTTCAACACGTAAGTTTGTCTTTGGGTGCCCTCATTTGGAAGGGATATATATATATATATATATATATATATATATAGTTGTCATTTTACAGATTTGCATCTTCTAATGTGCCCCATTAATTTCGCCATCCCTTTTTTTTTTCCTCTCATTGCAGCTGAATTTATGACAAGAATAAAATTACTCCTGAAACCCACTCCAAACACAGTGCACTACATACTTACCCACTACAAAGGAGTCTGGGACATTGTCAATAGTATCCCCTTCCTGAGAAATGCAATTATGAAGTATGTGTTGACATGTAAGTACATTCTCTTTCTAAGATTTTCAGTTTTCTCAAAGGGGAAAAAAATGTTATAATACCCCTGACTACTAAAGCTAATCCAAAAACATATTTCCAACCTTACCAAAATGATTTTAAATATACTTTTTTAGTGTGCCTTCTAACTTAATGGCAAAAAAATATATAGACATTTCAGTCCTTTCCAGTTTATAAAGTCTTGTCTCACAGTCAGAATTTTGCTTACAAATCTTTCCCAAGCTTCTTGGATGGTTACTTGAAAAATCAAGATGGTAGACCATTTGATCTTGTGTAAAGTATATATACTTTCTTAAAGATTCATTTTAAGGATTCATTCTTTTAAGTTCAATTAGAATCTAAAGTATACATGTTTTAAAAGAGTACTATTGTTGAAATTAAATTCAATCTCTGGTGCTATTTTGCACATTTTACGATTTAAAAAATGAATACTGATTTGCCTTGCATATGGGAACAAATTAAACAAATTTTTTTTTCTCTTGAAAATTTCAGCCAGATCAGATTTGATTGACAGCCCACCAACTTATAATGCAGACTATGGCTATAAAAGCTGGGAAGCCTTTTCGAATCTCTCCTATTACACCAGAGCTCTTCCTCCTGTGGCTGACGACTGCCCAACGCCCATGGGTGTGAAAGGTCAGTGAGAGGAGACAGTTAGCTATGTATAGGAATGGGAGGGCGTGGGGAGGGAGAGGCAGGGTGAATTGCTACTTAGACCCTAGATTTCACTTAGATTATCACTTATTTACTAATAAAAGTATAATTCTTCCTTTCTTATGGATATCTATGGAGATCTTTTGAAACTGAATCCATGTAGACTATTTCTTAATGTTTTTTAATTCTTTTATTAAAACCGGGCTCATACTAGTTAAACAGCAGATAAAATTATTAAATAAGAAGCTGTTTCCCAGTATCTTCGAACTGTCTTTATATTATGATCCTGGACACAATTGTATTTCTCCTGTAAGGGAGGAAGGCCCAGATAAATTGACAGTATAATATCTGCTTTCTTGAATATATGAATGAATTTTTGGCTTTCTCATTTTTCAGGGAAGAAAGAGCTTCCTGATTCAGAAGTGATCCTGGATAAATTTATGATAAGAAGAGAGTTCATTCCTGATCCCCAGGGCACAAATTTGATGTTTGCATTCTTTGCCCAGCACTTCACCCATCAGTTTTTCAAGACAGATCACAAGCGAGGACCAGCTTTCACTAAAGGACTGGGTCATGGGGTAAGATAGAACTACATCAGAAATATAGCTAATCATAGTGAGGTGCCAACATTGAAGACCATGTGTTTACTTGCCACACCAAGTAATTCACCCTCTTTTTGAAAAGTGTCCTATCTATAAAATTTTTAGTGGAGTTTCGTTTTAACTCACTGGTTAAGTAAACACACACACACACACACACACACACACACACACATATCATTTATAATTTGGCTCATATTTTTAGTTCAAAATATCAGCATGGCCAAAGTTATGTTGTGAAAAACATGTTTGTACCCTGATTATGCTGCTTTAAATAGTATAAGGTGAAAATTTTTGCAGCATTATATTTTGGATTCCAATTCATTTATTTTAAGAATTTTATATCAATAATACATTTGCTGATGCTATTTAAAGGAAATATCCATATAATTATAGCAAAGCATATGATATATTAATAGGGCTGCATAGGAGATACTAATGTCTTTAAACACAAGAGACATATAAGTCTGTAGTTTCAGTAGATAAACATACTAACTTAGTCTTTCGTGGCTATGAAAAAAGTGTTCTATTGAAAAATTTTCACTGAAGCCAGCTAAATCATCAAAATGTTTAGTAACACATTATGTCATAGATGCTTTATATAAGAACAACTTCAGTAGCAGCAAACTAAATTTTTTTCTGTAACTTTCCAGGTGGATTTAAATCATGTGTATGGTGAAACTTTGGACAGACAACATAAACTGCGCCTTTTCAAGGATGGAAAACTGAAATATCAGGTTTGTTCCATTTGAATATTAAGAATTAGCTACGACTTGCCCCTCTGCCTGGCCCTGGTTGAAATGCATTCCTTAACTTTTAAGTTAATGTTTCCCTATTTCCACTGTTTTTCAGGTCATTGATGGAGAGGTCTATCCTCCCACAGTCAAAGATACCCAGGCCGAGATGCTCTACCCGCCTCATGTCCCTGAACACCTGCGGTTTGCGGTGGGCCAGGAGGTGTTTGGTCTGGTGCCTGGTCTGATGATGTATGCCACCATTTGGCTGCGCGAACACAACAGGGTGTGTGATGTGCTTAAGCAGGAGCACCCAGAGTGGGATGATGAGCGGCTGTTCCAGACAAGCAGGCTAATACTGATAGGTAAGGAAGATAAGAAAATAATTTCGATAAAACCATCTTCCCAAGAGAAAACTAGTTAGTTGCCTTTTCTACGTTTTAAGTCACTCTGGGGGAATGTAGTGGATATAAAACTACATGCTCCATATTAACTTAATCCGTGAGCATGACTGTAATCTAGAACTGCCTTTTGCATTCATGGTAAAAGATGAAAAAGTAGAAGGGAAGGAATAGCACGTCCACAAAATTGCATTTTGGGTTGCTTAATGACCAGAAAGAATTAATGTTCTAAATGTTTTATTTCGTGCCAACAGGAGAAACTATCAAGATTGTGATTGAAGACTATGTACAGCACTTGAGTGGCTATCACTTCAAACTGAAGTTTGACCCGGAGCTGCTTTTCAACCAACAATTCCAGTACCAAAACCGCATTGCTGCTGAGTTCAACACTCTCTACCACTGGCACCCCCTTCTGCCTGACACCTTTCAAATTGATGACCAGGAGTACAGCTATCAGCAGTTTGTCTACAACAATTCTCTATTGATGGAACATGGGCTTACCCAGTTTGTTGAATCATTCACCAAGCAAAATGCTGGCAGGGTAAGCATTACTATTGAAAAGCAAAATAAAATAAGAGGACTGGTCCTAACTAAAAATGATTTCTATTCAACTTGCTAAAAAGGCAATTCGTTTGCTAATAAAATTCTCTTCTTGAATTAAGAAGCCTCACATTTTTTTTTGAAAAGGCAAAGCTTTTAGTCTACAGTTATCAAATGGCAGTATGTAATCATACCTTAGCGAGAGGCATTTTTTAAAACTTTCTATAACCTCGGAGACTACAGAAATGATTATTTCAAACTTGAACAGTTTAGGTCTCAGATGGAAGCTTAGGTCTTATTTACTTGGTAGAGGGCTTTTAAAGTAGAAATTGTAAATATCCCTAAGGACGTTGTTTTATAATGTAATTCCTTTTCCCCAGGTTGCTGGTGGTCGAAATCTTCCCGCTGCAGTTCGGAAAGTAGCCAAGGCCTCCATTGAGCACAGCAGACACATGAAATACCAGCCTCTGAACGAGTACCGCAAGCGCTTTCGGATGAAGCCCTATGAATCCTTTGAAGAACTCACAGGTGAGAACGAGTGTCTAAATTTTTTAAATGATTCAGAGGGCCTAATGCGAACAACAGAGAAGTTGGAAGCAGACTGAGGAAAGGGATGAAACTCTTTTGTTGCATTTTGCAAAAAAAAAAAAAAAAACTTATGTCCTTGTCCCCCTCCCAGGAGAGAAGGAAATGGCGGCGGAGCTACAAGAGCTCTATGGTGACATTGATGCCATGGAGCTGTATCCTGCCCTTCTGGTAGAAGTGCCTCGCCCAGACAGCATCTTTGGTGAGACCATGGTAGAACTTGGAGCCCCCTTCTCCTTGAAAGGGCTGATGGGCAATCCTATATGCTCTCCTCACTACTGGAAGCCTAGCACTTTTGGCGGTGAAGTGGGCTTTAAAATCATCAACACTGCCTCCATTCAGTCTCTCATCTGCAATAACGTGAAGGGCTGCCCCTCGACGTCGTTCAGTGTTGGGGACCCACAGCCCACCAAGGTGGTCACCATGAATGTGAACCCCTCGCACTCTGGACTGGAGGATATCAATCCTACTGTGCTACTGAAAGGACGTTCAGCTGAACTGTAGGAGTCTGTTGGTCATATTTATTTATTTATATGAATGATTTCTTTTAATTATTTAATATTTATATTAAGCTCCTTAGGTGACTTAACTTCTGTTAAGGAGGAAAGGGGTGACCCTTGTGAAGATTTTTGTGTCAATGATTTAGAGATGCCTTTTCTCCTAGTTAAAGGGACAAACAGATGTCATGTGACATCTTTTTACTTGAATTTCAGTTTAGACTGTTACAGTAAGGGCCACAGCATGGATGTTTAAATATTCAACTGCTGTTACAAGATGGCAAAATGCTGCACATTTCTGTCTCCACCCTGACTCTTACAGTGTATTTTCCATGATACATTGGAAGCAACTACCTGCACACTGGTCCTTTGATTTTCTTCTAGCCATTTTGCTAAGAGAAGCTCTTCCGATCAGTTTACTTCTATTTTGTTTCTCTGGTTTCAAGACCTCAGTTTGTCTTTCTTTGGACCCAACCTATATTATCTTATCTGAACTTTTGCAAAGTTTCAGGAAAACCTCAGCTCAGGACTACTATAGAGCTCCTCTTAAGAAGAATAAAATTTCTTGTCAAGAAGAGCTTTATATTCCTAATCTAAGGAATGTCCTTTTCCTTTAAAAACACAAGCACACTATTCCTGAATAGTTCCCAGGAAGATAATGCTTCTTTTTAGCCACATCTCATTGTCAGCTGACATTTTCTGGTACTGTACATTACTTAATTTATTGAGGATTATTATTTATGTTTTGTTAGAAAATTATTGTTATAAACTGGGTTGAAGCCTCTCTATATCTTCTTTGGGATTACCTCTCCGAATTTTGAAAACTACAAGAGAAATTATTGGATTAAGATGTGAATTAATTTTTAGGAACTCAAGACTGGTACATTGAGTTATAAGGTTGGAATTTATGTCATTAAGATTCACCTATAGACCAGTACAAGAAACATTATGTCTCCTCAGCCTGGAAGTGCCATAAAACTGACCTTTTATACATTTTTAAGGACCTGTGGATGCTACATTAATTCATTCAATCATAACTTATTGAAGAGACATTAGTCAAAGTACTGTAGATTTTAATATTTTTAATCAAGCACTGATTATGGGTAACATTAGTATTTATGTAAATAAGAGCATGTCTCATGGGTAGAGGGAGATGATGAAATCTCACTAAAGAGAAATAACTCAGGGAATTTTTCTTTAAGATTTTATGTATAAATGGTTAGAAAAAGAAATAGTCAATATTAGAAGGGCTTGCATAAAAATTCAACTTCCCTAATTTAAAAACTGAATTGTTATTAACATCAACCTGCTGTCTGAACCCAGGAATTTGGAATGTGTGTGTGTGAATGTTTTGGTGCCTCAGACTGTATTTAAATTTATGTCAAGTACAAGTGTTGAAATAAGTCTGTTTATTTTTATACAAAAGAATTGAAAAATCTCTTCTAAAATAAATTAAGACTGTTTCTATATATCTTTGTCATATGGCGTATGATTTCTCTAAAGGGTTATACTTAAACTAATGTTTTGTATTTTCCTACCTATTCCAAACTAGACTAGCCTTTAATGAAGTGGATCTGCCCTCAGTCATACATACAGAGGCTTCATAGGATCACTATTCATAATCTTTTTAACTGCCACACCATATGGAAAACATGTGCTTCATGCTACAGAATATGGCAACAAACTTGTTTTCATTGCCTAATCTAGAAGAAAAAAAACAAAAAAACAAGTACATAAAAACAAAGAATTAGAAAAGAATTACTACAAAGTATAGAATTAAAAAGGAAGTTTAAAGAGGAAGATATTATACTTAATTGGGCAGGTCATGGACACCTGGCTCTTTGGCTTTTGTTGTACCCTCCCTACGCTTGACATCTTGATAATTTCAATATCCAAATAGACCACATGTTACCATTCTGTCTGCCTCTTCCCTGACCTTTTCCATTCCTGTGATGCATATTTCCCAAGGTCATACATATCTTGATCTCATCACCATTAATTACTATCCAAATCTTGATTTCAAGTATCCTCCTTTTTTACCAACACCTACAGCTCACCCATTTTAGTACTCACACTCTAACTTCTAACTCTCCAATTTCACTAGGCCTACTGAACCATCACCCTCATCACTTCAGTATTTTTCACCACATTAACTTCACATTTCCTAATTTATGCACCTAGCTCAGATTCCTTTGCCAATCATCATGACTCCCTCCTTCCATTGTTCTTAACTGGCACAGCTTAATTAATTTTGTCCATCCTCCTAATCTGTTGGACTGCTCAGTAGCATTTAACACAAATGACTATAGCTTCTTTCCTAAAAGAAGCTATATGATTTGATCCTCTCCTGGTCATTCTCTATTTTCACAGAGTGCTACTACTCAGATAGTTTTAAAACTCTTCATCCTCAATTATATCTATAAATTCAAGTATTTTGTTCCCCCTCTCCTTTAACTGTACTCTTCCAGGTAAATTTTATCCAAGCTGATAAACTAAAACACTAATTAAGTGGATGAAATACTAATCAATCCCAAATGTATGTCTCTAGAACCAACATCTAATTGTCCATTGAAACTTTTCAACTCAACTACATAAATAATGGCTTATTTTACATCTCTTCCCTCTCAGCACCATATACCCAAAGTATTAATAACTCGAAGTTAAGGATATCACCATTCCCTAGTTATCAAGCAAAACTCCAGCTTTTCTTCATGCCCGTAGCCACTCTAGCAGCAGTCTTATGGATTATATCCCACAGATAAGTCCTAAATCTGTCACTTTTCTCCAATTCCACTACTGCCAACCTAGTCAATGCATTAATTTCTTAATTGGTTTTCCTCTTCTATAACTGCTGTCCCCCAAACCATTCAACTTATGAGAGTGGTCATTTTCAAACATAAATCATCTGCCCCTCCCTTGTTTGAAATCCGATGGCTTCCTATTCCACAATGGATAAATCTAAACACCTTATCCTATCTTATGAGGGTCCCACTAATCTGTCCCTGCTGATCTATCTGATCTTATCCACTATAATTTCCCACCTTTGTGCACTGTGCTACTGCCATGTTTCTTCAGGTTTGCTTAAATAAATAATAATAGGCTTCATGAAAGAAGCAAAATATGTGTTAATTCTTGAATAAAGAGTAAAACCTTAAAAAAAATCCAGAACTATTCACTCTGAAAATTAGTTTGGTAGTTTCTTTTAAAACTAAAAATTTACTCTCTGTGTCTCTCTCTCTGTCTCTCTGTCTCTCTCTCTCTCTCTCTCTCTCTCTCTCTCTCTCTGTCTCTCTCTCTGTGTCTCTCTCTCTCTCTCTCTCTCTCTCTCCATATATATATATATATATATATATATATATATATATATATATATCTACATTTCTGGATTTACAAGTAAGAAATAGATCTTATGAGTGAAACTCAAGGTTTCAGTAGGGCTGTGTTTCTTTTGGGCACTCTCAGGGAGAATATGACTCAACATTCCAGCTTCCCAAGGCCACCTTCATCCTTTGCCTTGCAGTCCCTTTCTCTGTCATCAAAGCCAGTAGGGTTAATGAAAAACAAAAGACTTAAGTAGGACTATAAACAGGTGATATAGTAATGTCTAATAAGTACATGAAAATATGTCTAACATCATTAGCCATCAGAGAAATGCAGATTGAAAACAGTGAGACACTATTAACACACTTATTAGAACAATTAAAAAGATTAACTATAATGGTTAATGTTATCTGTCAACTTGACTAAGCTTGATGTCCAATTGTCTGGACAAACACCAGTCTAGATGTCACTGTGAAGAAGTTTTTAGGTGTGATTGACATTGAACTTAGCCTTGGCCGGTTTTTCTCAATGGATAGAGTGTCGACCTGCAGACTGAAGGGTCCCAAGTCCAATTCTAGTCTGGGGCACATGCTTGAGTTGTGGGCTCAATCCCCAGTAGAGGATGTGCAGAAGGCAGCCAATTGATGATTCTCTCTCATCATTGATGTTTTTATCTCTCTCTCCCTCTCCCTTCCTCTCTGAAATCAATAAAAATATATTTTTTAAAAACACATTGAAATCAGTGGACTCTGAGTAAGGCATATATTCGTCTATAATGTGGTGAGCCTCATCCAATAAAGCTGAAGGCATTAAGAGCAAAGACTGAGGTCCCTGGAAGAGAAGAACTTCTCAAGGCAACAGCACTAAAACTCTGCCTGAGACTGCAGCCTGCTACCCCGAAGATTCTGGAGTTGAGACTGCAACATCAACTCCTACCTGAACTTCCAGCATGCAAATTTCAATCTTTATCACAGAATATAATATGTAAGAAAAGAGAACTCCTAGTCACTATTTGGATAGAGGGTTTACCATGCTAGAACTGTAATAAAGATTAGAAATATACCTGGGTCATCCTATTCAAATGGCAATGTTTTTGGTCTATCAAATCAAAACCAATTCCTCAATATAGATTTAAATACACATCACTTATGTGAAAATAATCAATGATTACAACAATAAATAATGAAGTGAGAATGAAAAATCAAAGCAAATCATTGAACCCCTAAAGTTTCCTCACTTTCCTCATTCCGTAGATATAGATATAGATGAGATAGAGATACCTTTGATGTTATCTATACTTTAACAACTTAATATCACTTAGGAACCTCTGAGCTGCTTTTTTCCTAGTTTTCAACAAAGCTGAGATTTAAATAAAGATTGAAAAAAAGTCACAGTTGTTTCCCATCTCCATCTCCAATTCCATTGTACTATTAAGGGCTCAAATGTTTGCAGGGCTTAGCCACAGTCTAGCTATGAAGTAGAGGGAAATAGTTTAAGATAAACAGTACAGACCAGGCAGCATGGCTCAGTGGTAGAGTGTCAACCTATGAACCAGGAGATCAGAATTGATTTCTGTCAGAGCACATGACCAGGTAGCAAGCTCAATCCCCAGTGTATGGCGTGCAAGAAGCAGATGACCAATGATTCTCTCTCATCATTGATGTTTCTCTCTCTCTCTCCCTTTCC